GCTCGAGTCATGGCACAGACCTTCAGCCATCACCCTGGAGCGAGTTTGCTCCGTGCTCTGAGCTCAGACATAACATTTAAGGCTACCAGATCCCCTCGATTCGCTGGCACCAGCCCTCCGCAGCGGCATCTCTCCCAGGTCCACATGGTAGCCCAGACCAGATCCCAGTGTGGGGACACCTCTGCAGGCTACCATGTCCCCAGCATGGGGCCGGGCTGGCTGGGACGGCGTCCTGCTTGTCGTGCTGTTCTGCCAAGCAGGGTCGGTGTGCTGGGGAAGGCAGGCTCGTCCTGACGTGTGGGGCTGGGTGTCCCAGTCTGACCAGAGCAACAGGTCGGGATGTGCCGGGCAGCCCGATGCTGCCCTGCGCAGGCACCGCTGGATCTTTGCTCTTAATGGCAAAGAGTAACCCCCAAACTGCAGCCACTAAAGCACATGTTGAGTGCACGAGCAGAGGCAGCGCAGGATGTTTTTCAGCAGCTCTTGTTTGCGTGTGCAAATACCTGCACGGTGCGGAGGAGGAGCTGGGCACAGCCTTACCCAGGCGCTGCTGAATCACTGCTGCGTGGGCAGTGGGTGAGGACGGGACCGCGTCCCTCTGATCGATGTCCCTGGGCCGATCACATGGTCCCAACATTCCCCTCTTGCAAAGAGCACAGAGATTTTTAGGACTTGCCCTCTCTACCTTCGTGCACTGCGTCTCACCCAGCAAGATGTTGTCTCTGGAGAAATCACGCTGTGGCATCGCTGTAGGAGAGGAGCGAGGGGCCGTTGGCCCAAGGAGCATCGTTTTGGCCTCACAGCCACGCTGGGTACCCAAAGACAACGTGGCATCACCCCAAACTGGGAGACCTGGTGCAGCCAGGGGATGATCTGCCCATCATATCTGTTCCCGTGTCCCTGAAATCCTGCCCTCCTCCTTACCCAGCGCTGCAGACTTGTGGGTGAAGCCTGCAAAGGAGTAATAACTTCATTTAAAGGCTAATTGTCATTAACCTGTTGCCAAAGGAAGCTTAAAAGCATGAGCCAATTACACCTGCAAATGTGCTTTGGGTAAGGAGCGGCCAAAGGGTGTAATTAGAGCCCGTCTTCACAGGGACACCCAGTTCTTGGATGGTATTTGCGGCCGAGGCTGGTCCTGTCGGCCGCATCTGCTGGTGCCAGTAACGGTGGGTGCGCTCGGCCAAAGCCGGGTCGGTGCGGCAGTGGAGGGGCACGAGCCTAGAGAGATTCACCAGAGGGAGGAGAAAAAAAACACAAAATCCCATTTTTTATGGTAAAACGAGCAAGACTTGGCAGCTGCAGTATCAGCTCTGTAAAAGGGCTCATGGCACAAGAGCAATATTTGCTCTTGCAGTGTGATAAAGAAGGGGGTTTGCTGTCGTCATAGGGCCCGGACAGACAGACAGACAGTGTTTGGACCACTGCTCCTCTGCCAAGGAAGCATCCCTGGCCCAGCCGCCCCGGTGCCCATCGTCAGGCGTTCGTGGCTCTGGGTGCTTTGGCCTGTCCCGGCGATGGCAGAGGCGGAGGGAGGCGGAGGGTGGATGGGCTCTCCCGGGCTGCAGATGGTGTCCCCCAGCCTCCGCCTGTCTCCCACAGACCTTCCCGTCTCAAATCCCAGCTAATTAAGTCCTGGGCTCATCTCTCGTTATCGCAGGGGTAAAGCTAGAGTGGAAAATTGTCCCGCTAGAAGTCGAGGGAAGAGTTAAGCCCGGTTAGCGTGACTGTGATTTTCAGTCCAAGTTCCTCTTCCCATTTCAGGAATCGGGGAAAAAACATTACATCATTTGGTAAAATCCCAGCTGAGTGTCGGCATCGGGGCCCAGCCCTTTGGGGTGGTGGGTGCAGGGACCTGCTGGCGATGCGGGGGCCCCGGCCCCG